TGTAAATTTCACGCATTCTGTTCTGTACAGGAGACACGGCACAGAGGAGATTGATTGACCATGGTCTACAGCCAATCAGGACGCAGAACACAATGCGCTGTAAAAATTAAATAAAAAAAATAGGGCATGCAAAATTGCACTAAAAAAAAAAAATCCACAAAACAGCCAAGATAGGTGAGCCATGTTTTAGAGAGGGACCACTGTATCTGCAAAAATCAAATACGAGATTCTGAGACCAACCAAGTCGAAGTCTTCTGCCATTTGTCTAGGCCTCAAAATTCTGTCCTTAAAAATTATACACAGAATCACTGACAAGGTCTAGTCCCGGAGGAATTCACCACCCACTGGGAATGAGTTCAACTTATTGCTGACAATGTGGTCCAAGCTTTTGCAATGGTTTTATAAGGACCGAATGTCTCGTACTGAAACGGGCCAGAAAACCCAGACTGAAGCACCTCCTACAGAAAACTACAAGCGACACAGTCGAATGCCTTCTCCAAGTTCACAAAGCATATGTAGACTAGTTGGGCTAACCTTCATGCACACTCACATATCCTCTAGAGGGTAAAGAGCTGGTCCAATGAAAACTGCATTGTTCCTCTTGTATCGGAGATTCAACTAATGGACTAATTCTCTTTTCCAGCAGCCTGGCTTGCTCTGACAATCCAGAGGTACCGCCCGATTTCCATGGAACATTGGATGTTGTAGAGCGGTCTTGGTTGACACGCCTCTACAGAGCATTCAGGAACACTGTGCGAGTCTAATCCAGACCAAAGGCTCTGCCATCAAGGATTTGTGTACTGCCTGTGTGACCTCACCCCAGAGTGGATGAGTCATCTACCTTATCTCCAGACTGTGCTCTATAGAAGACGGATCATTGAACTTTAGGAGGGCCTCAAAGTATTCCTCCCACCCCCTGACAATATCCTTAGTTGGGCATCAGCAGCACTCCACCTGCACTATACACATGTGGGTTTAGCACCACTTTCCCTTCCTGATGGCTTACCAGAATCAGTTCGGGGCAGTCTGAAAGATATCATAGACCCTGGGATCCCTGGGACACACAAATCCCTCCATTTCATTTCATTCTATTAATTTATTTTTCAGGGATCATGTACAAGCAGAAGAAAACACTGAC